GAAGGAACGGAAGGAGGGAGGGAGGGAAGGAAGGGAGGAAAGAAGGAATGCTAGAAGGAAAGAGATTCTACCTGGGTAGAAGAGTCCGGAAGCTAGGATAGAGTCCCTATCTGGCCTGTGTCTACTGGACATTAGGTGGAAATATATTGGAAAGAAAGAGAGAGTCCTTTCCTCCTCCTTCCCTCCAGGAGCCTCTGATGTGAGGGAGTTTCCATGTCCCCAAGCTCACTTGGCTCCTCTATTACCAACCACAACAGCCCTCTCTCCAACCTCTTTCTCACCTGTATCACATACATGCTTTCAAGGGGACCTGGCTTCCAGGCCTGACTGGGTTGCTGTGTTACCTTGGTGAAGTCACTCCCCTCTGGACTGTAGTTCCATCCTCTATAAAACGAAGAGTTTGAGCTGTCAGATCCCAAAGGTCGCTTCTAGCTCTGGTGGATTCCTGTAACATTTCAGCCCTGCCTGGCCTATGTACAGTATTTCTCCCATTAGAATATAAGCCCATTGAGGGCAGGAAGAGAACAAAGATTTTTTAAGTACCTACTATAGTCTTCTATTGTCTTCTCAGGGGAAGCAGCAGTGGGATCAGGCAGTCCCCTGGGTGTCTGAGCAGCTTTTTAAGGACTACACCGTTCACCTCCTGATGTGACAAAGAGACCAGAAAAGGTGCCCTAAAAAGTATCTACTTTACCCAACCCTGGCCTGTTTACCACAATAGGCAGGGATCTCACTTTGTGATCAAAACACACAAAAAAAAATGTACAAAAATTTCTGCAAAGATGATTCCACTCACCATCAGTACATGGAATGTGCTCACCTTATGGACAACACAAAATCCAGTAGACCTGAAAGAACAGCTCTTGTTGCGAGAGAACTCAGCAGGTATCACACCCAGATAGCAGCCCTGAGCTGGAAAATGAAAGTCAGCTTGCCCAAACTCAGAGCTGGATACACGTTTTTCTGGAGTGGCTGCAGTGAAGGGGAACTCCATAAAGCTGGTGTAGGTTTTGCAATCAAAACTAATCTAGTCAACAAGCTTGTATACCTACCAAAAGTACCAAAAGACAATGTGATTGCCACTCACAGGCAAGCACCATGCCACCATGATCAGTGCCTATGCTCCCACCATAATGAACCCTGATGAAGTCAAAGAAAATTTTTATGAAGACCTGGAGACCCTTATCATCAGTGTGCCAAAAGAGGACAAGCTTATAATTCTGGGTGACTTTAATGCTAGAGTAGGCACAGACTATCATAATAGAGTTGGAAACAGCAAAAGCAATGGTCACTTACTACTGAAGACTTGTGCATCTCGTGACCGTCTCATCACCAACACTGTCTTCCGTTTACCTAAATGCAATAAAACTTAGTGGATGTACCCTAGAAGCAAACAATGACATTTAATAGACTATGTCATTGTAAGAAGAGACAGATAGGATGTGAGAGCAACAAAACCAATGTGAGGTGCAGAGTGCTGAACTGATCATAGACTTATCCTCTCTAAGCTAAATATTTGCCTTCAACAAAAGCTTTAGCCCCAAGGCAAGATGACTGCCAGAAGACTTAATGTCAACAAATTGGACCACTTCTCTAATAGGGAACAGTTTGTTGCTAACTTGGAAGGAAAGCTACGCCAACAAAGGCTGGCAACAGTGGAGCAGAAGAGGAGTGGGCAGCTCTCAGAGATTTGGCGTATAGCGCTGCATTTACTCATCTGGGCCAGAACACTTGCAAACATCAAGACTGGTTTGATGAAAATGATGGGGAAATTCTGAAGCTGCTAAATGAAAAACCAGCACTCCACGGGGTTTAGCAGTAGGTTAGGTCATCCATCTCTAAGAAGGCAGCATTTAAATGCATCAAAAGTAAAGTACAAAAAAAAAATTAAAAAATAACAAGAGTAAAGTACGAGCAGAGCTTAGATGCAGGATTTTTGGCTCACTAAGAAGGCAGATGAGATTCAATTTTAGGCTGACAGTAACAATCCAAAGCACTTTTATGATGCCCTGAAGGCTATTTATGGGCCAAAGACCTATGGTGCATCTCAACTACTCAGCACTGATGGAGGCACATTGATTAGTGATAAAGACATGATCCTGGAGAGACGGGCTGAACGCTCCCATAGCACTCTCAACAGACCATCATCAATCAATGCTGAAGCCATTGACTGTTTACCTCGGGTTGAAGTCAATCCTTCTCTAGCCAAATTTCTAAAAACCTGAAGAAGAGGTTTTGAATGCCATTAGGCTCCTCTCCTGTGGCAAAGCGCCTGGTACTGATTCTATTCCAGCTGAGATTTACAAGGTGGGGGAGGGGGAATCCATTGCTCGTGCACAAGCTGACTGAAATTTTCCGGGTTATCTGGCAAGAGGAGGGTATACCTCTGGAGTCAAGGACGCCTCCATTATCCATCTCTAAAGGAAAAGGAAATAGATGGTCCTATGACAATCACAGGGACGTCTCTCTTACTCATTGCTGGCAAGATTCTTGCCAGATTCCTCCTTCACAGGCTGGTCTTTCACCTGGAAGATGGTCATCTACCTGAGAGCCAGTGTGGCTTCAGAAAGGGCCAAGAAACAACTGGCTGATAGGGTGTTTGCTGCCCGACAACTTCAGGGAAAATGCCAGGGGCAGAACAGGGGTCTGTACACAATATTCGCCAATCTGACCAAGGCCTTGAGTCATGAGCCCTCGGTCATGAAGGCTTATGGAAAATTATGTCTAAATTTGGTTGCCCAGAGAAGTTCATCAGGATGGCACATCAATTTCACAACGGCATGCTTGCCCATGTTCTAGATAAGGACTATGCTCTCGCACTTTCCCAGTCACCAACAAAGTGAAACATGGCTGTGAGCTTGCTCCCATGCTTTTTATTTTTATTCTTTTGTTTTGTTTTTTTTTTGTTTTGTTTTTTACTAGTAAGTGTTATGTGTCTGAGGTCAGATTTGAACTCAGGTCCTCCCGAATCCAGGGCTGGTGCTCTATCCACTGTGCCACCCAGCTGCCCCCTGCTTTTTATTTTTAATATAATGTTTTCAGCACTGTTGTCAGACGCCTTCAATGAGGACAAACACAAATTCAAATTTGGCCTCACTTACTACGAGGGTGACCCTGGGTAAATCGCTTAACTGCGGTCAGCCTCAGTTTGCTCAACTGTAAAATGAGGATAACAAATCACCTACCTCTCAGGGTTGTTGTGAGGATCAAATTAGATAATGTAAATAATGTGCACTAGGGTGCTTCTGCAGTCCTTCATTCTTGAAGAGGACCAAAATGGCATCATTGTGTTGGGGTCAAGGCATGGTGTGTCTGCCTGTGGCTGATCAGATGTATAGGAGCTCAGAAGGCATGCTCGCTTCAAACCCAAACCCAGCTCAGTTCAGGACTTCCTAGGCTACTTCTCTACCCGGCCAACTTCTCAGATACCTTTTGTGGGTCTTCTTCCCCCATTAGAATGTAAGCTTCTTGAGGACAGGGACTGTCTTTCTTGTTGCTTATATTCTGCCTGGCATATAGGATGTACTTAATAAAAATGCTTTTGGATTGACTACATCAGAATGGAGTCCTTTTCTATATATAATTATGCAAGAACAACCCAATCTCAAATCCTACTGTTTAACCTCCACAGATGTGGGAGGTCACTTTCAGTGGGGAAGCATGAGGATTCATCTGGAGTCCGTGAAAAACATCTGACGCAATGGTATTTTAGTACCCTCTTTAATCACCTTGGAACCTGGCTAGCTCTTCTCTATCCTTCAACAGCCCCTTGTTGGATAAGTTGTATGTTGGTCTCTGACTTTCCAGGTCCCCCTCAATACTAGTGCCTTCCCTAAGACCACCCCAATTGACCCCATGTAGGTTGTCTCCCTCATTAGATGTGAGCAGGAATTGTTTGTGCATTTCTTTGTACCCTTAATGCTTAGAACAGTGCCTGGTACATAGTGAAAGTTTAATAAATGCTTGTTGACTGACTTACCACATGGACATCCATTTAGAAAGCATTTGCTGCTAAATGCTGGGGAATGGATAGGAGAAAGCAATCATTTTTCTAGCCTCTTAAATTAGCAACTCAAAGCCAGGACAGTTCTGGGAAACAGATACTCAAAGGTGATGCCTTCAGCCAGATGAGTTAAAGTACTGTCACATCAGACAAAAGCAGCATTCTGAAGGAGCACTGATCACGTCTCCAAGAAGACTTGGCCAGGCGGAAGGATGGTTTTCACCAGGAATGGAGGAGGGGAACTGATGAGCATAGACACCCCACTTCCCCTGTTTGGTTTCCTGATTTCTGCTCCTCCTCCAAGCCCCATGCTTCTCGTGGAGACACAAGGTTATTTACTGGTGGCCACTGTCCTAGAACTTGGCTGCCAGGTTGGGTAGCCAGCGTGCGCTGAGAGTTAAAAATCAAAATCCCCTTGGAGTCCTAGAGGTCAATCTAGGACCACAGCCAGGCTTAGTCAGTGACCTAGGGTCAGGAGCTGGTTTTTGGTCAGGGCTAGGGGAATAATTTCTTGCAAAGGTTAGAAAGATTTGTCTTTGACCAGGGTTAAGATGGTCCGAGTTTGGGGTCCATGTTTGGGCAGGTTTAGGTAGAGGCCAGCTCTGGGTCAGGATTGGAGTTCTGCCTTTGGTCCATCAGAGTTCAATCTGTGGCTGGGGAACAGCTTTTCTCTACATGAAGCCTATAGCCTAGATGGATAATGAGCCCCACTACCAGGCCTCTGGTAATAATGCTGGGCTCTAATCCCTGACCTCACCAGGCTGGACACAGGGACTCTGGTTAAGTCATCCAGATTCTAACAGGGAATTTTAACTACCATGTCCCACAGGGCATCAAGATGACTGCCCAAAAGAAGAAGGGAAGGAGGGAGGAAGCAGGCATTCCATCGAGCCAGGAGCCCAAGAGGCACAGACCGGGATCAATAAATAAGCAGACCATGAGAACAATACGTGTTTATTGGGGGGAATGTTCCAGCTTTCTCTCCCCAGCATCTTTCTCTAACGCAGCCCTTTTCCCTGTGGGATCTCTGTGACAGAAGGACCAAAGACCCATGGCCTCTGCTTCCCAAGACTGAGAAGGGCTGCTTCAGGCTAAGGCTGGGGGCCAAAGTCAGGCAGCCTGTGTCTTCCCCGACCTCTGTCCTTGACGTCCTGGCCACAGGAAGCCCTGGCCTGCCCTGGTGCTCCTGGTTGACAAGGGGGCACACAGGACCGGCTCTGCTTTACTGTGGTGGTGGGGTCAGCCAGGGGCAAGGAGAGAACGAGAAGAAGCCAGGCACATGCCCCTCTGGTTCAGGATAAGATGGCTCAAAGTGCTGGTTGATGGTGCCCAGTTACATGCATTGCAGGGGGTGCAACTGAAATGAGGGCCAGGGCCATGTTTTCCCAGAGCATGTGGAGGGTAGAAGGGTGCCCCATAGAGCACTCTGCGGCCCGTGTGACCAGGATTTCAGAAAGCAGGTAAGATGTCTGGGTTCTGGGTTCAGGTTCTAAGGGATACCTCTTTTACCTAGCCTGGGGGGAGGAGGAGACTAAGTCCAGAACAAGGAAAGATGCTAGGCATAGGAGGAAGGGCTGGTTCCCCAGGCACCCAAGTCCCTGACCCACTTCCCTACCCTTTTTTGTGACATTCAGCACCCACTATACCAGCGGCAGCTGGGCCTGCCCCACCTCTCGTGCTCCCAACATCCTTCCTGGGCCGGAGGGATGCTTGGGGACTTTCCACAAGGGAAGGAAGAGATCCTGACTTGGGCGTTCTGTTTGGGGACCACTCCGGGGCCTCCCACCCCAGGCTCTGAGATGCCAGGCGGGCAGCCCAAGCCTTTTCAGTTGTCGCTCGCTGCCTATGATCAGGGCAGAAATGCCTAAGGGATCAGGATTCCAGGACCCGAGGTCAGTCTGTCCAGCTATGCTCGGACATGCGGTCGGTAGAGGCACTTCCAGAAAGGGAGGCTAGAAGGGGAGGGGGGAGTGGCACAGGGCCTCCATCCTCGCTCCGCTCACCGCGGCTTGCGCTGGGCCTGCTGAAGGCGTCGACTCAGGTCATCAATGCGGACGTTTTTGAGCTGCAGCAGATGTTCCAGGCGTCGTACCTTCATCTGAAGGACCTGACGTGCCAGGACAGCAAGATGTCCACCCCCACCCCTGGCCCTGCAGCTCCAGCTGGGCTTGGACCCCATTCTCACAGTGGGCCCAGCAAAGCCACTCATCATCCATCCATCCATCCAGCCATCCATCTAGCCATCCATCTGTCTATCCATCTGTCCACC